CAAAAGAGGAAGAGAAAATATAAATTTTCTTGTCGAAATCTTCCATTGAATAGATTTACGGAGATATATCCCTTGTTATGATCACTGCAGACTTATATTGATGCTTATTGTTTACTATTTCGTTATTAGGAAAAAGAAAAAAGGAAAAATTAATCTTTTTTTTCCTTGTCGAAACCCATTTTTTCAAAATAATGTATTGCTTAAGAATCAAGAGGTTACCTTGACTACTTGTAGAAGGCCAGGGAGGCGGTGACTGAATATGAGGAATATTTGGAGTAGGCGGTGGTGGAGGGGCCACAGTAGAATTAAAGAAGCGGTAAGTCTCATACCTAATATTACAGCTTTCAAAAAGAACTCTTCCTCCTCTCCTATTACCGCAACATGTACTTAATCGCGAGATCGCATTTCGAAGGCAGTCGTCGCAATCAACACTCGAAAGATCCGGCGTGCACTGTGCCAGTGTATGCAGGCTTTCAAATACCGTGAAGCTAGCTATTTTTGTAGCAAATTTCTTACCGGGGAGACTACTATTAACAGCTTCCGATGCTATTTCATTCATCGTCTCTCCTAATAACTGTCTGAACCTATTGGGTTCATCCGTAATGTTCTCCACATTAGACATGCATAAAGAGAACGACTGCTCCTGCTCCGGCCTCGAGAATATAGTTTCATTTGAGTAGCGTAACATGCAATCGTCGTACCTGTTGAACACAATATTTAAATAAATACATATTGATAACTTCAACTTTTAATAACATAAATAGTTATACCAGATAGTTGACCCTTTTCCCTCGGGACAACGTTGTAGGATTTCAGTCGTAGCAGTTTCCACACACTGTTGGCAGGCATCGGTGTTAACATCGCCCCTACATAGAAAGAGACCGTAGACGGTGTTGGGAGGGCCGCTGCCGACCGTGTAATTGAAAAATCCATTCTCCCGGGTGGCGTTTGAGGATAAATAAAGGAAAAGCTGATTCAAGTTGGATCGATAGGTGCTATTAGGACTGTATGTAGTTGTATTTGGGCAATGATTGTAAAGATAAACCGATCTAATTCTTGTGCTGAAGCAGAGAATGCAAAATAAGCAAAAATATGTAGAGATTATGAAGGCCGACATGATTAATCTGAAAAAAAAAAAAAAGAAATCTGCTTATAATTTTGATATTTTTTCAAACAGAAATGGATTTCTTATAGGGTTGTGCTACTTGTACTTTATGGCATCGATAATGGATGCCATAATGTACAAGT